CCTTTTTGGTTTTTTTTTTTTCCTCCCCTTTAATGTTTTGCTTTGAGATGCTGAATTAAAAACTCTCTTCAGAGCTTTTTTTTTTCCAATGTGTTTTGCTATTCTGTGTATATTTGGACAGAACTGGATCATAGCAATGGGCATCTACACTTCATGTGAATAATGACATAGGCTGGAGCAGTTCCAGTGAAAATGCTTCTGGACACAAATATTTAGTGCTGAAATAGTTGTACCTTTAGCCCAATGTGTGTTTATGGAGGAAATAAGTTGTGTGTGTCAATAGTGAGTAAATAAAGAGTAACAATGTATTGGGCAGAATATACATATATATATTTATATATATGAGTTAGTGGGTTATAGCTGCTGAGAGGACCATTCCCTTTTCTTTTTTCATTAGGTTTGTGTGGTTTTAGGTTTTTTGTTGGTTTTTTTTTTTGTTCTCTCCCTCACCTCATTCCTGCTAATCATTTTGCTGCTTTGATTGGTAGCTTTGATGCCAGAGGAAATAGTGACACCTTTCCAAGGCTTCACTGGAGATCCCTCTATTAATGTATGTCAGAGCCAGCAATTTATTGTTAGTTTTTATTTCCAGGAGACAGGTTCTGCTGAAAACTCTGTTGGTTTTGTGCCCTTTGCCCCTCCCAGGGGTTACCCTTAGCCATGCTATTCATTTCTGTGAAATCCTGGACTGTAATTATGGAAGAGCTGGATTCTGGTGGCTGTGAGTTCCCCCTGACTTCCATTAGAGGTTACCAAGCTTTTATTCCTGGAAGTGCCAAGTGCCTGGTTGGAATCACTGATTGCCTGTAATTTATCTGCCTGGGCTGGTCTCAGGCAGCTCTGGTGGCAAGGTCTCTGCTATTTCAGGGTTTGCTGAATGTCCTCCAGGTGAAGTAAATTGTAGCATTCAAATAATTAGGAAGATGGAGGGGTTTTGCTGCGGTCCTTGTTTGCCAGACTCATCAGTCTGTTGAGGTGAGGAGAGGCTGGAAATTGGGCCACCTAAATTGGATAGCTGATGTCTGTGAAAAGGGCAAAGAACCAGATGGAACAGGCAGATTGGAAAATTGGAAGCTCCCTGTGTATACCTGGGACTTTCACAGTGTGGTTGCTCTTCGTCAGAAATAAAATATATACGTATATCTTAACAATAAAGCTTTAAAAATAAGAAAATAAGTGCTCTGGAACACCAACACACTTCCCCCAAGCAGAAAGGAAAAAAAATAGCAGGGTAACCTTTTTGATTTTTTTTTTTTTTTTTTTTTTTTTTTTAGTGCTTGAGGGCCTTTATTGTTGCAGCAAAGTATAATGGCTGGAAGTCAAAGTTGTTGATGCTCGAATTGTAAACAAGCTGTACATATTTAACAGGAGGTAATCAGCCACAGAAATAAATTAACAAGGGATGTTAAAAATTTCCCCTTGGTTTGAAACTATTCCTAACTAGAAGTCTTTGTAAAGCACCTCCACAGCGAGTTGGGGTGACTGTGGGCATTGCTTGAGCAACAGGCTTTGGATTTGAAGCTTTTTTTCGTTGATTTGACTTTTTTTTTTTTTTTTGGTGTTGAGGAAGGGGTTACATATTTATGAGATGAAAAAAAGAGGTTTAGATGAGATATTAAATTGTCAGGGTGCTGTGAGGGCCGGCAGCTGGCTGGGGCTGAGGAGCCGGAGGGTAAACGGGGTTTGTAGGGCTGTGCACGATAAATCAAATACAATAATGAATTGCAAATAGGATCTTCATTTAGAAGGGGAAAGTAATACATTGTTGGGATGATAATGCAGGTCACAAGCAGTGTTTTTACTTTTAAATGTTGATTAGTTAAGCATTTTTAAAAAATGATGTTGCATCCCCGTTTAGGAACAGCTTGTCAGCATCTGATTAATATTTGTTTCATGATTTCTCAGAAGGGATATCAGCTGGGGGAATTTTGTTGACTAAATTACTGGAGGCTATTTGTCAGGCTCTTGGAATATATTATTACAAATATCTATGTAAATCACACAGTCATCCACTACAAGTGGATTGTTCCTCTTACACGTTGGCTTATTTAAAAAAAAAAAGATTACAGAACTCATCTGAATCTTCAGTAGAAGAACTGGGTTTGTGTTTTCTGTGTAAGGACAAGCTGGAGGTGGTACATGGGTATTGATTCTGGGGGAGGGCAGAGAGGGGACCTGCATTTTTCTCTGAATGGCTCTAAGCCTTCACTGCTTTTTCTCTGCTGAAGCAACATCCCCCCGTAAAACCTTCCAAGCAAGCCAAAAACAGGAAGTCTAGTGAAGTCTCTTTGAGTTTGGACGCTTGTGTTTCTGTTTTCTGGCAGCCTGAGGGAGGGGCTGTGCACAACCTGTCCTGGTGCTTGAGGTTTGAGATTTGAACACAGAAGATGGATTTTTCTCCTGCCCAGAGCAGCTGAGTAATGGACTGGCAAGGACCAGTCTGGCTCAGTAACTCACCTGGGCCTTGTTGGGCTTCACCCTCCTTCATCTTCATTCCCAACTGCAGTCTGAGGGTCACTGGGACCAGACCTAGCTGGGACTGGCTTTACTGGGTGGAGGGGATGTCCCTGCTGCAGGCAGGCACAGGACACTTCTCTCCACCTGAGAAGGGACCACAGAGAGCAGATGTGTCCCAAAGGAAACCACTCAATTTGTCTCCTTTGCCCACATTTAGTTTTTGTTGACCTTTCTGTGACTGTTTTCCTTCATGTGCTTGTGTGGGAAATCCTGCCAGCCTGGCAAGGAAAATGGATGGATTTGGCTGCCTTGTGACACCCTTCCTGCGTTTTCCCTCCCCACTGGACAGTTAGGTGTATATTGAACGTTCCAGGGCATGGCCTGGGAGGGGGGATGTGATCCATTGCTGGGAAAGGAGCTGCCTGTGCCGTTACAGACATGATTACCACCAATCTTTATGATGAAAATAAGCAAAGCCACATTTGCTGACTTTCCAGTCTTCCCTGCCAGTTCTTTCTGAGTCATCAGCTTTTGAAAAGAGCAATAAAAACTGTGCAAAGTTCTAACTTTCACAAGTAATCATATTCAAGCGTGACAGTTGTCGTCTCTATTCCCTTAGAGAATCACAGAACAGTTTGCATTGGAAGGGACCTTAAAGATCATCCTGTTCCACCCCCCTGCCATGGGCTGGAACACCTTCCACCAGACCAGGTTGCTCCAAGCCCTATCTTTGAGGCTGGCTAAAGATGGGTCTGAATTACTGGCTTTTCCACTACTCTTGGAATGATTCATGGCCAGAATTTGAAGCGGGTTATTTAATTTTGTGAATGGGTTTTTGGGGGAATGATATATCTCTTTAGACAGCTCCTTGGCTATAGGTTCAACCTGTACCATGGAATTGGACCCAACTGTTGCTTCTTGGGTGTCAGATGTTTGAAGGATCATCTCTGTGTGGTTCTTTCACACAGTCTTGTGCTGCTATGACAGGAGAACCTCTTCCTTTTTGACTACCTACTGTTCAGTGCAACCTGTTTTACAGGTAGACCCTTCTCATGATATTTGTTAGAGAATCATTCTCCATCAGACCATGTAATATTCAATGTCTGCTCCAGGGAAATACCTTTGTCTCATCTCTGCCTCTCTCCATGGTTTTCGTAGAGTATCCTGCACTGGAAGGGACCCACAAAGATCATTGAAGCCCAGCTCCTGGCCCTGCTGTGAATCCTTATTGCTTGTGACTGGTCTGGAGAATTTTTTTGGTATCATCTAGTGGAAAATAACTGTGAATGCAGAAGAGGGATTTGGTTTTTTTTCAGATTGTGTCAGATCTGTCATGCAGTGCCCACTTACCTCCAGGGCAGATTTGAAAGTAAGGAAATCTAGTGGTGTGTTCACCTTTATGTTGCTTTGGGAGCACCTGAATGGTAGTTCTGGTTTTATTACTTAAGCCTGAAAGCCACCTTTTGAATCCCTAGCAATTTGATAGTAAAAAGGTGTACTTCCAACTAGGAATGAGTAATATTACTCTGAATAGTTTCTACCCTGGATTTTTTCATAACCATAGGTTGCAAAATGCAGTAAATCCTCTTTCTTGTTTACCCTCACTCCCCAGGACAAGATGTTTGTACTCCTTTGAGCTCTCAGGATTTTACCAACACGTGGCATTGGGGAGCCATGGCAGATCCCTTTATCTCCATGTTTTTTGGGAGACAAGGGAAGAGCTACTAATTTTTCAGCACTCCCTGAATCTTGTCCTTCTCGTTGTGTCCACAGAGATTCAGAGCAGTGTTGCTGCATGAAGTGAGGGTTGGTGCTTTAGGACAAAGTCAGTGAGTTACATTTCCTTAATTGGTTGTGATGATTCAGCCTGGAACATGAATCACCCTGGACAGAGATTTGGATGTTTCTAGGGCAGTAAGAGCCAAGTAATTTTAGTTTGCCCCAGAGGCTAAATTGAGGTACAGATCAAGTTCAATTAAATTTTTTTTCACACTCCCAACTGTTCATTTGTCTTGTTCTGACAGTTTTATTTACTGTGTACCTAAAAGGTCTGTCACACCGACCGCTTGGCCATGCTGTCAAGAGCCTGAGGCAGCGCCTATTTCACATGTGCTCTTCATAAAAATGTGCATGGCTGGACCATTTGCTTTTTGATTTACTTAAATTAGAAGGTGTTTCTGGTGTCCCTGTTCCCCTGAAAGCTGGTTAGTAACAAACACAAGGTCTGAACTTCCAGTGTGTTTTCAGAGAGAGGAGGTTTCTCACCTCGTGGGCTGTCCCAAGTTACAAGTTCTGTCTGTGGTGCTGGAAATCCATCAGGGGCAAACCTGGGCAAGGTGCCTCTGAAATAAAACTTTTTTTAATTATCTTGGTTAAAATGTTCAGGAAGAATTTCACAGAAAGGGTAGTCAGGGATTGGCAGGGGCTGCCCAGGGAGGTTTGGAGTCCCCATCCCTGGAGGTGTCCAAGGAAGGCCTGACCGTGGCACTCAGTGCTCTGGGCTGGGGGACAAGGGAGGGATTGATCACAGGGTGGACTTGATGGGCTGGGAGAGCTTTTCCAACCTCAGTGAATCTGTGACTAAAAACTTCTGAGGTGGTTTTTTTGTTCTATTTTCTGGTATTCATTTCAACAGAAGAACTTGCTGTGAATTGGACACACACGGAATTCTGAGTGTTGGAGCTTTTGTTTCTTCTTTATACTGTCCATTTTTGAACTGTGTATAACACTTTGTGGAAGGATTTCTTGATTTGCTTCACACATCTAAAACTTCTGCCAAGGTGGAGATATTCACTTGAGCCTGTGCAGGAAACTTTCAGTAGTGTGGAACTGTGAGGGTGGGGAGGCCCTGGCCCAGGTTGCCCAGAGAAGCTGTGGCTGCCCCTGGATCCCTGGAAATGTCAAAGGCCAGGTTGGACGGGGCTTGGAGCAACCTGGGCTAGTGGGAGGTGTCCCTGCCCGTGGCAGGGTGGAAGTGGATGATCTGTCAGGTCCCATCCAACCCAAACCATTCCATTATCCTGTGGCATTTGGGATGTCTATGCTCTTCAAGCTCCCAGGTCTCTGCCTGTCTGGCAGTTGAATGTTCATCTGCCCAGCAGGAAATAGGGAACAAAGGCACCACTAATGCTGTGATACATCACCTTTGTAGAGCTCTCTAATCAAGGAGAAACATCTTCCTTCCACTGCTTTGCTCATCCATAAGAATTAAATAATCTTTCTTTTATTAAATATTATTCGATTGTTCTCAGTTTTTTATTAATTTATTAACTAACAGTATCAATCACACCGTTTTGTTGGCTGTTACCTATTGAATTAAAACCAAGTTTGTAACAAACACTAATGCTTCTTGCTGTTGATGTAACAGGCATTTCATTTACTGGAGTTATAAGTTACCTTCTGGTGTTACCTTAGGAAGTGTGGTGGCCTTACAGTAATTACCAGTAATTGGTATACAAAGGCAGGAACTGTTCTCAGTAGCCGAGTATTGTTAGAAAATAATCTCATTTGTTCAGTGGTATTTCAGCAGCTCTAACCAATTTCTAACCATTTTATTATGTGCCATATGTCTGTGCAGCAGAACTTTGAATTGGGTTCATGAAGTGGAGTTGTTCTGCTTTTATTAAATGCTGATTTTTAAAAGTACCTTTTTTTGCTCCCCACTATATAAAAATATACCTCTCTGCCTCCCATGAGTGTAACTCTCCCATCCAACCTTCTGCATGGCTTTTGCCTTCGTCATCCCTTGTTAAAGCAGATGATTTTTGAAGAAGAGGAAGGCTGTGGTCACTCTATTTTTGTATATTGTTCCCTCAAGGCAGGTTTTGGTCAGAACTCTGATCTGAGGAGTACCAGTGAGGGCAGAGCTGAGCTGCAGAGTGGTTCTGAAGGTGTCTTAACCCCCTGCCATCAGGTTGGCACACAAATGACTTACAGTCAGCAGCTGCTTCTGCAGATCCATGTGCAGATCTGACACACTGTTTTGTTTCACCTTTTTTTTTTTTTTTTTTTTTTTTTTTTTATGCTCTCTGCCTGGTTTTTTCCGTGGTTTGTTTTCTACCAGCCAGGCTCAGTAACATTTGCATGCAGCCCTGACTAAGTGCTTCTTATAAGTGGAGTGTCAAAGGGTTCCTGCTCTGGTCTGGGAACACAGGTGTCAAAATGACTCCTCTGTAGAAAGACAAATTATTGATTTCTGTTGAGGAATATCCTGATGGCCTTTCACTGTTAGAAGATGACTTAAAACTCTCTTTCTACTCAAAAAATCTTCTTTGTCATTGCAGTCTGGTGATGTATAATCCTGACACAGAGATTTAGCCCTTGAAACTATTGGACACCGACATAACGTGTCGTAGTTGGATTGTCCTCAGCATTTCTATTACAATTAATGACTTCTCCTGGAGGGCAGATTAGAAGATGAGTATTCTTTCCCTTCTCTGAAAGCTGGGATACTGCTGGAAAATTGGAGTAAATGGAGGACTGATTTTCCAGGGAAAGGTCAGACAGGTGAGTTAATGGAAGAGAAAGGGGGCAGGCAAGAGAAGGGAGCTGGTGTTTGACCAGGGCTGGGGCAGGGGGCAGATGGGCCTAGTAACATCACATTTGTGTGATCCCAGAAAAGCTACAACCTGCCAAAAATAGTGCTGCTTTTTCCGTAGCCAAGGAGAGTTTTTTTAAGATGAGGTGCGTTGTTTCTTTCTTGCTTAGTTTGACAGAGCAGTGAAGCAGCAAAGACCACACAGCTGAGACAAAACTAAACTGGGAGTGTTCCACTGATGGGGAAGAACTCGAGGACCTTGGTTTGTGCTTTGGGGGGTTTGTTTGGTTTTCCCCTCTACTGAGAGGCCCAGTGTTCACAGAGGTGTAGGATATGAGTTTGGTCCTGGCTCTGACATCTAGCACCTGGGATGGTGCCTGGGATTTGCCTTTTCCCCTGTCCTGAAGCAGTGGTGGTGATGTGTTGATAGTTTCTCTTTTTCTTAAGCATTTGGATTTTATGAAAAGACTTTTCAGTTTCTCCGCTGAAACATAGGAGGGAGAAAAACATGTTGTTCATTATCCCTTGGAATTAGTCTCGCGTTTTCCCCCGTTGTAAAGATTTCACGAAATGGAGGGACGATTCCACACAGATCTAATTTCAGACATACAAATAATTCCTCTGTGAAGAATAACTAAGTGAGGCAGGACTCAGCCTGGAAGAGGAATGACAGAACAAGGATGTGATGGAGGTGTGTAATCATGTCTGAAGGGAAAGGGGGACAAGGACAGAGAGTTCCCATCTCTCCAATGCAAGCTCTGAAGCATCATCACACAAAAGCAGTTCCTACTGTTTTGGGTTTTTTCACTTTGTGTTTAGTGATTTTCTCTCTGATTTCTTAGGAGGTAAAGCAGCTGGGGCTGATCAGCCATGGGTTTGTCCAGACTGAAAACTTTTTGTCTTTGTAAGGGTGGAAGAATTATTTCATACTACTTGAACTCTGAAGAGGCTTCTTTTTTTGGTGTTAATGTTTATATAGCTAGGATGGAAACTTCTTCTCTTATGTAGGAAAAAGGAGATTGCTGCTTGTCCAGTTGTAGGATTGATAGTGGTGTGTGTGAGCTCCTCCAAAAATGAAATGGTAGTTGTCTGCCTCTGTTCCTTTACTGAATTCAGTTTGACTGTCTCGTGTTGAGTATTTCCCCTCTCAGTGTATGTGGGAGGAGGGAAGGAGAACACAGAATGGAAAAGTCTGAATTGTTTTTCAGAGATGCCACCTTCTTGTTGTGTTTTGCAATTCAGCCACTTGTTATGGTTTTTAAATAGCGAGCTGCATTTACTATATAATACCAAATGTATGGTCAGATTGGACGTTTAATTAACTTTCCACAAAACTTTCATATGAAATAGGAATGGACTTGATGTCCTGCCACAAAGCAAAATTACCCTGTGTTTTGGGACGCTCAGAATTGGATTTTAGAAATTTTATGCTGAACTATGCCATGGAATAAGGGTAAGTGGAAGTGTAAGATGATTTTTAAACAGCAGCCTTCCAGTTACACAAGTGATAGAAATGATAAGTGTGAAGGTATTTATGTGAAGTTTTTTTGCATAATGAGAAAGGAGTGAGTTATTGGGGGAGGGATAGTAATGATCCAGCTCATAAAGGCTATGCTCATGAGAATAATTTCATTAAGTACTCCAGCAGATCAGTAAATCCTTCAACTGCCTTTTTCAGTGCAGTCACAGAGTTTATGTTCTTTTGGGAGGAATTCACCTCCTGTTTCTTGCCTCCTCCCTCCAACCTGACATTTTGCTAAATCAGTTTATTGCATGGCACAGCCTGCAAACAGTACCTTCCAAGGTATTAAAGATCCCATCTATTTAGAGGACATTGTCCGTTTATATCCTAAATATGCTGTCAGCTGATCGTTGGGTTGGGGTGGAGCCTGTCCCCTTCAATCTGCTGCACCTTCACTCCAGGGACAAACCCAGCTTCCTGGGCTTCTCTGCCCTGCTGTTTCCTTCACCTTAACAATGATTTTCTGGGCTCTGATTCCTACTTTTCCTATCGATCCAGTGACCTCCCTTGGACTGTCTGGTTAGTGCAGTGGCAGGTCTCCATGGCTTTGGGTAATTGGATTGGAGTCAGAGGCCTTCTGTGCCAGTGATCCTCAAAGAGGAAAAAGAATCCTTTAGCAAAGCCCCATTTCTGTGGGGTTCAGCTTGAGGGAACAGAAAGGCAAGGGAGAAATGAATATTAATGGATTACAGCTGGATTTGGGGGGGGTTGGTGAAAAATGATGAGGTAAGATGCGAGCTGTTCAGCAAACCGTGCTGGGAAACTTCAGTGCTCTTGAACCCCCTTGATTGTATTAAGCAAGTTAATTCTCTGAATTTTCTACCCCATAAACGTTCTTGTAGAGTGATACTGGTCATTGCTTACCTGGGCCTAATTCTGAATTGGAAGGGACTGAAAACTTGGTGTCCCTGCCCATGGCTGGGGTTGGAACAAGATGATCTTTAAGGTCCCTTCCAACCCAACCCAACCCATTCTATGAGTCTGTAATTCCCTTAAAGAATGTAAGTTCTCAACCCAAAATATGATGATTACTTTTTGTAATTTGATTTTTTTTTTTCTTCGCACTGATTCTTCCTTTCAAGAATTTAAAGGATAATTGTTAATTTGAGTTGAAATCCAGAGCAGGCATTAAGACATAGAGCAGTCTACTGGGTCATTCTATGTTCCTTATGAATTTGAAAATTCTGTATCTTGTCAAACTTCCAGTTTGGAGCAAACTAAAATCTCATTAGCAGAATAGTTCTGAAAACCTTTTATTCTAGTAGTAGTTAATGTTTTTGGGTAACATTTTTCAAACTGGTTAGTCTGTTCTTCATGATGAAAAGTTTGAGAGGGAACCTGCGACTAAAAACCCCAAGTCTCTAAATGTGTATTTTAAAAATCAGTTCAATCACAGATTATATTTTAAGCAATTACAAGGACACTGAAAGCAGAGTGCAGTTCCAAAGAGCAGCTGTGTGGCACAGATGGATTCTCTATGTTTTCCCATTATAAAATGGTGGGGTTTGGAATGACCATTACTCTTCTACCACCTATAATAGTAGAAGAATTCTGATGTCTTGTGCTGAATAGTTCATATTCAAATGTAGTAAAAACTGCAGTGCTACGTTGTCTCTCAGTTGGGTAAAGGCCTTACCCTGTTCAAAAATGAGATTTATGTTGAAGGGCATGAATAGGATTTTATCCTAAAAGATCCTGCAAGAGGACTCTGGGCCAGAAAGCCAACATCCACTTCCATAACTTCCCAGTCTGCCAAGGTTTTCCTGTGGGGACATCTGCAGAACCAGCTTCTGCAATCTGCCTGCATCGAATGTGTGTGCAGCTACATGTAGTATTTATGATTGCACCCTAAGTGATACCTAAATATGTGTATTTGCATTTTTGCCTGTCTGTATTTGTTCTGAGGAAGGTATAAATGATGATTAAAGCGTCGGGTAAGTGGCTCATGCATAAAAGATTTGAGGAGAAATTCAACAGAACTTTGAAAACAAACTGCAAGAGTAGAGAAAACCCTCTATAGAGATGTCTTGAGATTAATTTCAGTAAAAGAATGACATATTTTAGCCATGACTGAGGTTGCCTGTGCTAAAGTGATTTACGGCCACCTTGTTAACAGCAGGTATAAGCTGTTCAGGGTGTAAATGTCCTCATCAAGAGGTATTTTGAAGAGTTTCTGCCTTCCCAGCTGAGGTGTCCAGTATAAGTGGACTCGGAGGTTTAGCCAAAGCTGGGTCTCCACAACCTTTTTTCAGTGGTAAGTTCAAAGCACTATTGCTTTCATCCTTATTTTGATTTATTTCTTTCCCCCTCTACCTTTCAAAGGGGAGTGGCAAAAAAACAAAACCCTGGCATAGGGTGTGGAAGTTGTTTAACCCCATCGATCCGCTTACATTACTGAAGGTGTTTCTTTCAAAAAATCTGCTCTCAGCAAGTTTAAAACCATCTAATGCATTCAAGGTGCAAATTATGAGAAAGCACTGATAACTTAAACTTCAAATTTGGGGTAGCATTTATGTCATTACTGTGATGTTCTCTAACTTTGTTGTGCCACCTCAGACTGAGTGTCCTCAGGACAAGTGGCAGTGTTCCTCTCTGGATCCTAGTTTGGATAATCTCCCAAAGGTCTCTATACAGATTTTGCCTTGATTTTGGGGGCTTCCCTCCAAGGCAAAACACCTTATTGTTACTGTGATGCTTTGTCTTGAAGGAGATTTTTCTTCCTTGAGGAGGATGCCCCACATCAGTTGTGGGAATTAGGAGGTAGCTCCAGGAAAACCTTGATGTCACTGCAGTAACATAGCACAGAATCACTGAGGTTGGAAAACACCTCCAAAGTCACCGAGTCCCCCCCTGTGCCCGATGCCCACCTTGTCCCCCAGCCCAGAGCACTGAGTGCCACGGCCAGGCCTTCCTGGGACACCTCCAGGGATGGGCACTCCAAACCTCCCTGGGCAGCCCCTGCCAAGGCCTGACCACCCTTTCCAGCAACAAATTCCTCCTCCTGGCCAACCTGAGCCTCCCCTGGCACAGCTGGAGGCCGTTCCCTCTCCTCCTGTCCCTTGTTCCCTGGGAGCAGAGCCCGACCCCCCCCAGCTCCCCCCTCCTGTCAGGGACTTGCAGAGCCAGAAGGTCCCCCCTGAGCCTCCTTTTCTCCAGGCTGAGCCCCCCCAGCTCCCTCAGCTGCTCCTGCTGCTCCAGCCCCTTCCCAGCTCTGTTCCCTTCCCTGCACACGCTCCAGCCCCTCCGGGTCTCTCCTGTTGAGGGCCCAGAACTGGGCTCAGCCCTCGCGGTCCCTCAGCGGTGCCAGCACAGTGAGCTCAGAACAAAACACAGTTCCTCAACAAATGAGCCCTGGCACTAAAGGACCTCTAAAATACCATTTTCTTACTCCACTACCAATTTTGGGGAGAAAATGATGTGGTCTCTATGGAGTTGGAGGCATCTACTGCACGAAGTAGCAGAAATGCTGCCTGGGGAGCTGGGTAAGGGTGGGTTGTGCCTTCAAGGCAGTGCTGCTGCCTGGGACCTCTCTAATTTCTCATTGTTGTGTGAGAATGGAGTTGTGCAAGCTTAGGAGTTCAGTAGGTGCTGCTTTTTCTGCAGAAACGTGAGATGAATCCTGATTTCAGCACCTTGAGGTACTGGATTACTGGCATCAGCAGGCACTGTAAAAACACATGTATAATTTCATATAATCCCAAAATGGTTTGGGTTAGAAAAGACCCTAAAGGTCATTTGTTCTACCCCCCCTGCCATGGGCAGGGACACCTTCCACTAGCTCAGGTTGCTCCAAGTCCCTCCAACCTGGACTTCCAGAGATGAGGCAGCCACAAAATCTCTGGGCACTGGGAATTAGCCACTGGGAAGCTACTTAGGATTGAATTAGCATTTCAAAAGAGAAAACAGTCTTGCTGCTGGAAAACTGTGTGGAAGTGTGGATTATTTCTTTTTGCTTGCTCTGCTGTGTTTCATTTAGTCTGTTTTAACTCTTCATCTCTTAGCCTGGAAGCCCAGTGCCCCTCCAGCCTTGCAGCATCACACTAAGAGATTCAAATAGGAAAACTGTATTTTTTTTCTTTAGAAGAACCTGAAGAGATTGGTCAGGTAACGGGTCACTAAATGTTTCTTTTGTAGAATAAAAATTGTGAGGGAGAAAGAGGTATGGGAAAGCCTGTGGGGGATGTGTTATCACTTACAGTGGACTGAGTCAGGATGTTTTTGAAACAGTTGCGTTTAAGCCAAAGCTTCCAAAAAATCTGACTGCCTTATGCTAAGGGATGGTACCTTCCCTGTGTGCTGAGGGCCAAAGTGATGCTTTTAGAGTAAAATTTGCATAAGGTGAAGAAAATTCCTTACTCCGGGCAGTTTGTTTAGCTTGGAACAAGTGTAGAGAAGTGTGAGGAAACTAACACTTCATTTAAGGGCTTCATAGGCTTTCCTAAATTTACAACACACATCTGGGGGGGAAAATCAAACATATAAATTAGCAACTGAATTAAACCACTAATCTGTTACGTTCAGCATCTATTGCTCTGATTTCCTGCAGTAGTTTGGAGAAAGGAAATGTGCCCCTGACCCCTGTACCTGAGGTGAGGTGTATACAGCACTACCTGGGTATTCCCTCCTGGCTCCTGCAGGCAGTTTGCAAAAGCCCTGAAGCACAGAATATCCTTGTCTTAACTTGAATAATTAAGGATGTAATTGTTTGTAAAGGTAGCAACTGGGAGGAGAGTTGGTTTTCTCTCTGTCATTATGACTTCCTGAACGAGCCTGAATGTTTAGTTTGTGTGAAAAAGATTTCTTTGTGTGTATTCTTTTATTTCTGTCCGTGTTCCTCTAGTACAGAAATATTATTGGTGGCAAGGGAAAAGTGTGTTACTACAGCAGCATTGGTCATCAAGATTTCAGATGATATCTCTAATGTCTCTTTAATGTCTCCTTGCAGTAAATAATCCTTGGGCTTCTTTCTGGTTTGTTTTGGTTTGTTTTTTTTTTAAACTGCCAGAGGGCAGGGTTAGATGGGATATTGGGAAGAAATCCTTCCCTGTGAGGGTGGGGAGGCCCTGGCACAGGTTGCCCAGAGAAGCTGTGGCTGCCCCTGGATCCCTGGAAGTGTCCAAGGCCAGGTTGGACGGGGCTTGGAGCAACCTGGGCTAGTGGAAGGTGTCCCTGTCCATGGCAGGGGGTGGAATGAGATTGGGTTGGAAGGGACTTCAAAGCCTAAGCATTGTATGATTTCTGAGAGGTGGGGGTTGTTTTTTGGGGGATTCTTGTTCTGTTTGAGAAAGGAGGGTTAGGTCCTACAATGTCGTCACAGCTGAGCCGTCCTTCCTGAGTCTTTGTCCTTCTCTGGTGTCTCTTTGTGAAATGATGTCCAAAAACCCAGTGTTTAATGCTCCAGGGTTTTTTTATTGTCCTTTATAATGTCATAATTTAGGCCCTCTTTCTATCTCTCTTAATGCTCTCAAGCACTTTGTTTACTTTACTCAGTACCATCGCACTGCAGCAGCTCCCTGGGCCTCTCCCTCTGAGGGGAAAACAGCTGAAAAGCTGACAAATTCCCCATCCCTCTTTACATACATGAATATCTCATTTGTCCCAACGTGTCTTTTCATCCAAATGGAGCTTCATTTCCCAAGCTATTGCCCAGGTACTAAATGCACTTAAATCCTCATGGAGCTGCTGAGAACCCTCTGTTTGTCCCCACAGCTGAGCTCTGCGGTTGGCAGACAGTCACCTGGCACCTCTCCATTCCACACTGCGTCCCTGACTCCAGCACCGCCACCTACACCTCCCTCAGCCCTCAGTAAACCACGTGGGCCTCCTCATCTGGGCTGTAGGCTCGTAGTTTTCTCTCCTGTTTACAACTGAATTGGGTTAAAATTGAGTTTCCTGCAGTTCAGCCTTTCGTCTTGGACAGCCAACCTCATCCACCATGGGTGCTCTCCTTCAAAACCATCCCAGAGCCAGGCCTCTCTTTACACATTTAAAAACCATTCTAGGGCAAAAGCCCCCAAAATTGAGGGGTGAGGTTGGACTGATGCCAATCGCATCAAATACATGCCCGAGTTGAAAGGTATCTCTCTTCTGACACTAAATGAAGACTGTCTTCTAATTTTGTCTTTAGAATGAATGTTTCCTGTAATTCTATTCTTATGTTCTTGCTACCAAGGCGTTTTTTGTACCTCCTCATCCTGACAGCCCCAGGGCACTGTGCAAGGGGGAACAAGGCCCCAGGAGGGACCAGATCACCTCACTTGGCACTACTTACCTGCAGTTCATCTGTCTGATGCAAACTACATGAATGTATCTTCCCCTTTCTCCAAAAGAACTGTCTCAGGACCGTGTCCAGAACTCCAGTCTCTCTCCTGTACAAATAATCATGACTTTTGAGTCCATTCTCCTTACCTTACTGTCCCAACTTCAGCAGTGAGTAAGAATCTGTGCTTGGTATCCCCAGTTCTGAGCATCAACTGTTTGGCAACGTTAACAGACCCAGTGGTGCCTTTCAGGTTCACCCCTGTGATTCCAAGGTGGTAAAATTACTTCAGTGTTGTCATCAGAGCAGCTTCCAAGATAGATTGGCATTGGTCACTCATCCATGAAAAAGGGAAACCATTGCCCAGCTGCCTGTCATGAGCTTTGTCTTCTGTATTTTCCTTCCCCCTGAGTGACTTGCGTACAAGTCCTTCTCCTTGTGTGATTCTGAGGGTCGACAGGTTTTCATGTGGAGCCTCTGCTGCTGAGCTTTGGGTCCAAGGAAAAGAGGCATCTTCCCCCCTAGTTTCTGAAGCTTGGTTTATTATCATAGAATGAGAATGGTTTGGGTTGGAAGGGACCTTAAAGCTCCTCCCATTCCATCCCCTGCCATGGGCAGGGACACCTCCCACTAGCCCAGGCTGCTCCAAGCCCCGTCCAACCTGGCCTTGGACACTTGCAGGGATCCAGGGGCAGCCACAGCTTCTCTGGGCAACCTGGGCCAGGGCCTCCCCACCCTCACAGGGGAGAATTCCTTTCTCACTATCCCATCTAACCCTGCCCTCTGGCAGTGGGAAGCCATTCCCCCTTGTCCTGCCATTCCAGGCCCTTGTGATAAGTCCCTCTGGAGCTTCATAACTGTCATAAACTTGGAGGTTCAGATCCCATGACTGAACTTGTGGTCATACCCTGGCAGGTCTGTGTTGCCTCATCCATGTGCCTTGGGGAGGTCAGTGAGTGTCCAAGTTGTGCTGATGGTTTCCAGACTCTATTCAACTTTATTTAACTTAGTGACTTATGAACAGCAGTTTTTATGGAATTCATTGAAGTATGAGTGTCAGTTCCCGCTCAATAACAGTGAAAATATCAAGTAGGAAGATGGAAGTGAACTGAGGAGGGAGAGAACATTATCAGGTCCTGTTGCTGTGTATGAGCTGTCCTTATATTGAGTGATATCTGCATCTCTGAGTGCATTTCCTTGTTTACTTCTGCCCATTCTCCCCCATCTGGCCTCAGTCAGAGACAAAACTGGTGGGGCTTGTGACCTTGTGTGGGTATAAGGGTGCTGTTAATTTAAAGACTGTCAAAAACCAAGGTTAGTTGTGGTTTTTTGTTTGTTTGTTTGTTTTTTTAACGAGATGTTACAGGAAATTGGTGAAACAGTCTTCTTTAGTTTGACATCTTTTGAAATTTGAGAATAATACAGCCTTGTTTTTAAACATTCCTCTGACTGATGAGCTATTGCTGTGCTGTTAAAGCAGAAGCTGTGAAAGCTCTAGCTTTGGTGGTACTCTTGGATTTCCTTTAGGGATCTTATTTTTTCTTGGCTATCTTAATAGTTAAATATTTGTAAACCCATTTGGGCTGAACTTCTTTGGGAAATAATCCTCGATATGGTACCCATGAGTTAAGTATCTAAATAAACAATTAGATTTCTCGTGTTCAACAAAACTGCTTTAACTGTTCCAAGGTATGTTCTACATTTACACAAAATGACTCCAGCAAATGTCTTTAAAGTGCAGCAGTGGGGTCCTCAGTTTGCATCACTTCCCACATTGTTCAGCCTGGAGAGGAGAAGCTTTGGGGAGATCTCATTGTGGCCTTCCAGGACCTGAAGGAGGCAACATGAAAGATGGGAAGAGACTATTTCCAAGTGCCTGGAGTGCCAGGACAAGGGGGAATAGCTTCCCACTGCCAGAGGGCAGGGTTAGATGGGATATTGGGAAGGAATTTTTCCCTGGGAGGGTGGGGAGGCCCTGGCCCAGGTTGCCCAGAGAAGCTGTGGCTGCCCCTGGATCCCTGGAAGTGTCCAAGGCCAGGTTGGACGGGGCTTGGAGCAACCTGGGCTAGTGGGAGGTGTCCCTGCCCATGGCAGGAGGTGGAACTGGATGAACTTTGAGGTCCCTTCCAACCCAAACCATTCTGGGATTCTATGGTAGTAATCCCTGGCATGTGTCAGCCTACCTGTGGTCTGGAAACAATTCTCTATGGCAACCAGGAACCATCTGAAAATCCCTGCCCTTGCACATCTCCCAGAGTAATCTCTGCCATGATTTCTTATGCCTCCACAATGAATTTTAAGATAATTTCTCTTCTGTCCCTCAGAAGAGGGAAGCCATTTCTTTGCTGGTTTGCCTGGATAATTGACTTAAAAAATAAAGAAATACTCGAGCAGATTAAAACCCCCACATATGTGTATTTAAATCCAGCAGCAGCAGCTTTGGGAGGCTCCCTGTTGCCAGCTGTCCCTGGATGAGTGCCCTGTGCACATCCAAATGTCCCAATCTGTGGGCACACCCCCCCCCCCCCAGCTCTGCAACGTGTGAATCACCGGCAGATGCAGCTGAACAAAGGGGCTGAGAAATGCAGGATGAATCCCTCCATTCATCACTGTGCATAAGCACTTCTCAGAGTCTGGAATGTTGGAAGAGAGAAGGATTTGCTTGAGAGATGTGGAGGCCAAGGGTCTTGGAATAGCCAGGGAAACCTGGGCGGGTGAGAGCGCTGTGGGCTCTGTGTTTTAAGGAAAGCAGAAATAGCCAAAATCCAGGAAATCTAGGAAATCAAATGCTGAGTATTGGGGATTGCTGAGGCAGTACTGAGGTGTGAGGTTATCTGGAGAAATGGGGGCTCAGGAGATGGATATCCATGGTTGGCAGAGGGCTGAAGGGCAGTTGGAGTCATGAGGAGGTTTGGAGGGTAGAATGGTTGGATGGAGATGAGTGGATCGTGGAATCATAGGATGGGCTGAGTTGGCAGGGACTTTAACCACCATCTCTGTCCACCCCCTGCCATGGGCAGGGACACCTCCCACCAGCCCAGGTTGCTCCAAGCCCCATCCAACCTGGCCTTGGACACTTCCAGGGATCCAGGGGCAGCCACAGCTTCTCTGGGCAATGTAAAGAAGGAAGTGATTGCAGACTTTTGAAGCCTTTTAAATATACCAAAACACAAGGAAATAATTAACTGTCTCCTTTCCCTCATGGCCAACAAACTCGGAAAGCAATCCAAGTATAATCAAAACAAGTAATCATGTCTAATTATGTTCTCATTGCCTGTTAAGGGAGGGATAAGAGGCATTTTTAAGGATAAGATCCCTGCAAAATACCAGGAAGAAAGGTGATGGAGCAGAGGAATGAAAGAGTGCTTGAGGCCTGATAGACATGATGTGAGATATGGAAAAGCTTGGAGAGCAGAGGGGGGTGTGAGGTTTGGAATAAGCTGTTTAGGAGTGATGATGACAAGTCTGTTTGATGTGCAGAACTAGCACCTGACAGTGCAGGAGGTGGGGGAAGGCAAGACAAGGACCTCTTTGGGTTTGGGTTGCTGTGGGATGGGAGCAGAGGGAACCTGAAGGGCAGGCTTAGGTAGCATAGGCAAAATATGGGTGATAAACAGCAGATATATGGTTAAAATAATGAAGATCTGGCATGTGGCTCGATTAGCAGCCTCAAATCCAGGTGTCCAGACCGAGGAGGCTTCCCCAGAAAGCTGTGATGTGATGTATGAGAGAGGTCTAAACATGACAGGTGTGTCATGGAATATCTGAGGTGGTTTGTCTGGAAGGCTCCTCCTGTCCTTGGCTCGTGGGTCAGATGATCTGTTGATTTAAGTGTGCAGCAGAATGTGGTACCTGGGAATGCACCAGGTGACCTGGGATCCAAGATGAGACCTGCTATTTACTGCTCTTTTCTAGAAAAGAAACCTGAATTCCTGTTAAATAGCTTAATTTAGGATGAGCTGTGCTGTGGAGTCTGGTCTCTGGAGGGTAAGAGGAGCCACTGGGGTTAACAGCAGGTAGGCACTGTGGGAGAAGAGGTGACTGAGATTTATTTGGAGTATCCCTGGGGTGTGGAGGAAGGCAGGCTGGACCCTGCCTTCATCTGTACAACAACAGGAGGTACATTTGCTTTTTAGAGGACTCCTGAATTCTGTTGCAGGTGTGTGACAACTGTATGGCCTAATCAGCCTTATTATTTGTCATCTGTCCAAAGTTCAAAAGCCAGGACTATTTTTAAATCTTTGGGCCCAGCAATCTCCAGTACCACAACCTTCACCCTGCCACAGAAGCAGCTGTGAACATGTCTGTTCAGGGTGTGTCACGTGTGTGTATGTATGTACACATGTTAATTCTGACATGTCATTGCACTGAACTGCTCCAACAGAGCCAATGCACAGCCCTGTCATTCCTCCAGGGTCTATTGAACACTATTCCTGGTGTGTGGTGACCAGCAGGCAAGTAGGAACACTCAGTTTGTAGAAAGGGAGACTGCTGTGACAAGTTTTGGGGTGTTGATTTTTACAAAACTTAAATTAAAACTGTCTCGGAGAAGAGAAGCTGCAGCATATAAATTCTGCTTGAAAAAAATGTCATTTTCTTCAGTCAAATAACTTCACTTAATGTAGTTTGGGTCATTTCCATTGTCATAACACAAGCCAGTGTTGAAATGTTAGTGAAGATCTTGGGGCTGTTTTCCTACAAGGAGCTCTCAGAGGGGACTCTTGACAGAATATTTCCCGGTGGCAGAGAAAGATTCACACCTCTGATTCTCTCCTCTGTGTTAAGTAATCCCAGTGAACAATCCTTGGAGAGAAACAACTCTGGCAAGGCAGAAACAGAGAGGTTTTTGGGATAGTATCCAATACTCGTCTTGCAGTAAAGCCAGTGAAACCCATCTTCGTACTTTGATATCAAAGTATATTTTCATTATTAACACTTCAGCGTGTAACTTTAGCTCTGGGTGCATATGTTGTGAAGACAAAGGTTATCAAAGAATTAATTTCACTACTCCTGGCTAATAGAGATTGTATTTCTTTTAATCTTTTTATGTTAGGCAGTTAATGTCACTTTTCAAATGGAGTCCTGCTGGCACTGCTCTCAGGGGTTTAGGGTGTCTTTCCTCTCTCCTCTTTCTGGAGCCACCATCTGCAAAGCAGGAGTTTCAAATGAACAGTGTCACAGCCCAAACTTACCAATTGCTTTGGATTAAGCACTCAAAAGCTTCTGTGAAGATGATGTTTTATAGCCTAAGTCCGTGCAGGGGGGGTTGGGAGTCGGAATCTTTTCATAATGCATTAAAAAATGGTATTTGTAGGCAGGAATGAATTGGCTGCCCTGTTTTCCCAGCCATGGCCAAGTGATTGTGATCGTGTGAACCCATCTAATAGCTGGGTTACTTGTTAAAAATACAGAAAATGCATTAAAAAGTTAAATTAAGTTTTAAAGTGCATCATTCACATTTAGGTCCAGGGCCAGCTGTGGTGTTTTCACTGAAGTTTTGAATGACTTGTTACTAATGCAGGGGCAAGTTACTGGGATTACACCCTGTTACTGGTGCTTCACTTTGGCTTTGCGGTGCCTGGCTCTGGCAGTGGCATCTCATCGACTCTTGCAGGATCATTTCTGCAAGAAGGGCACAGAAAATAATACGTTTAAAGAGTGGGGCGAAGAAATAATTAAAGCCAGCAGCCCTCAGAAGAATATGGGCAAGCAGGAATTATGTGTGAATTATTTCAAGGTAGATAGAGAGAACATAAGGAGGAATTTCAAGTGGCAGGTGAACATTTTTCTTCAGCTCTTCGTGTAAATTGTCATAATTTTTTCTTCAGTTCTTGTGTCTTTGCTTTCTAAAAATGCTGTCTCCAAGTAAGGCTAAAAACTCAAGACCCTGCTAACACAAGGACAAGAGACAGAAATGCAGCATCAACGTTACTTTTTTTTTAATGTGTTTGTTTATGGTGGAATAGATCCAGCAGCTGTGAAAAGGGAATCAAGTGTGAGCATGTTTGATCTTGAAACTTGGTCTTAAAATTCTTCACACTGCTGAAAGGTTTTACCCAGAGAGAGGAGAATAGCAAAATCCAAATCAACTGTGCCAATCCTGCTGTGTGAGAGCTCTTTAATACAGGAGGATTGAGTGAATCCAGGAATCCATAGGCTGAGCTACATGTTAAGTGCCCAAGAAGTGTTAGTGAAATAAAACCTGTAGTAGTGTTCTGCTTTCTGGAAGATCCAAAACTCGAGAGAGGGTTCTGTTTGCACTGTAAATTATTCAGTGTAGTACCAGATCAGCCAAATATTTGCTTATGCTTGAATTCTTCCTCAGGAAAGCATTTAAACAGATATTTGCCTTCAGTAAACAGAGTTATTCATGCTTGCTGCTGAACTAAAGCCAGAGCTGGCTTACGTGGGCTTAACTCAGAGGTAAAGGCTTCCTTCCCTGGCTTTTCCCGTGGTTATAAGGAGGTGCTGTGGGATGGGCTCAGGAGGGAGTCTGTGGGCTGATATTCAGCCTTCCAGGGTGCCCTGAACTAGCTGAGGTGATCCCTGAGCTGCAATTGTGGTTTATTATCCTGGTTAAACCCGACATGAGGGTGTTTTCCAGCAGTGCAGCTTTGCAGCAGATGTGCTCCAGATGTGCACCCTCAGTGAGATGGCTCAGGACCTTGCTAGAGGTCCTAAGTAAACACCCTTGAGATATTCAGTGGAAATCATGGATATGAATTCAGAGGAGACCAGATGAAGTGACTGTGGTGTTGAATGGCATTGAGGAAAACCAGAATTTGGGTGGTTTTTTTGTGTATCTGTTCTTGTGTTTAAATAAGAGCTTAGAAGTTTGTTTTTATTCTCTTGGCAGTTCAACATAATTTTTTAGGCAAAATAAGCAAAAATAAACCATTTGGGACACACAGTTTAATGAACTGTAGCTTTAACCCAGCCGGGAAGGCTGTCAGACTGTAAAGCAAATCCATCT